ATTATTCCTGCTATGAGGATTATAATCAATTTTGTTAGAATGTTTTTTCATTTATAGTACTTTTTCATATGCCCAAAATACTTTGTTAGGGCTTCAGAAATCCCAAATCTACTCAGTTTTTATGGATTAGTGAGTTGAACAGCTGGCTACTATCACTCATCACACTCTGAGAAGGTGACATAGTTTCTATATTCTGAGCATATTTATATTATTAAAATCTATGATTATGCTCTTCTTCCTTCAACGAAATACACACTGCTTTCTGCTCTCTTGATTCCAAACATCCGCACAAAGAAAATATTGGTAAAATCAAAAGCACGCTAACTCCCAAGAGCCTGTTCTTCAAACATTACTATCTCTTGTCATTTTGGCTTAATCTTAAGAGTTTTATGCACCTAATTCAAAATAATACTTTTGAGGGGGGAGAGATTAGATTTTCCTATTCTCTTCCCTCATAGCCCAAACTCTATTTCAGGCAAACCATCTCTGGTTCACACTCAGCAAGTGCTCTCCAGTTTGCCCCTAAAGCAAGTATATACCCCAGGACAGCATTTCTCAAGTCATCCCTGATTAAGAATTATTGTTACTTTATAGTCTCCAATCCAATCTATTCCAATACTTTTGTAAAATGCTAGAAAATTAATTAGAAAACATGCCATGCATTTAGATGGTGTAAGAGTGTTAAACTGCTATGACAGTTTCTAAATGCTTACCCGAAATGTCAGTATTTCACTGATCCAGGAAGCACATGTTAGGTATCACTGGTTTTGTGTGTGCTCACAAAAACTGGTCAAAAGGAGTGGAGGATAACTTTTACTTCAATGAGGGCCTCATGATCTGTGCCATGTAGTGAAGACTGTTTTTAATAGAGCTTTTATCTGGCATCCTGTCATATGGTCTCACTGTAACCAAAATTATCATCATTGAATTCGTTGCTATCCATCTGACAGAGATGATGTTAAATCAATCCAAATTCATCTTATAATTAGACTGACCTTTGTAGCTTGTGTTGATCTTCTGAGTGTTTGAGGAGTCTGTGGGAAATTTCATATTTTTTGAAAATCAATATGCAGTGTATGCTGGTGTGGCTTTTATGTATATTAAGTGCAGAGTGGTATTTTGCAGGGATATTTTATAATCACAGTATGAGAAACATTTCATTAAGCTATATTTGCATTAATTTAGTGGTTAATGGCATCTCAAATCAAGAGAGCTGGATGAGCTGAGACCTCACAGGTCTTTTTTTCTCCCCCGTTAGCAATGACATCTCCATTTTCTTGCTATAAAAATTCACTACAGGATAGCATGTTCTCATTAAAGTAAATATATCTTCCCATTGGTTTCCAAGTTGGGATGCAGAGGCCTATGAAAATAAGCAATTTGGAAGAGTTCCCATAGATCCTGTTACTACTGTACATTGTTAAATCAAATAAAATCCTTTTCTCTGTAAAGTGCAACCTCAAGCCAAAATAGGTAGATATTTCCTACTATGACTGCCTAAAATATATATAACAAACATAGCCAGAAAGCAGACATGAATTTTCAGTTCTGACCAATTCACCTGGGCAGAAACCAGAGTGAGTTTTTCATCTCAGGCACTGTTTGGATAGGGATTGCTTTTGCCATGTTTGAATGCGTTTTAAGCATTCATTTAGTGTTTCAGAGACTTACCAAAGTGAAATTCACCTCTGCTTCTCTGAACCCTCAGATATAAGGTACAGTCAAGATATCTTTCAGATCTTTTAGACCAAAACAAAGAAGGAATTGTCTCTTTTTCATAGTTTTTCTTTTCCATGGTGTACAAATCCTGAACATCATCAGAATTGGTAAGTGGATGTTTAATTTGAAGACGACGGGGGGGAGGTGTTGTTTTTGGCATTGTTGGTCTGACTCTAGCACAGTTCATCTGCATGTGATCTGGTGCTTTGATATCTCCTTTCCGATATGAATGGGTTTAAGTGAATCTCCTAGAGTGCTTCATTCTTTCAAGAAATATTTCCTGAGCTTCTAATGTCTGGCAGGAACTGGAGATAGAGCAGTGAAAAAACCAAAACAAATAATACCATGGACCCCCTCCTTTGGCTGTGGAGCCTACAGTCTAGGAGCGGTCGATAGACAACACACAAATCAATATGTATTAAGGAGAGAAATAATACAGGAAGGAGAATTAGACATGCTGAGTATGAGGGACTATTTGGGCCATAAACTTTTGCTACTTTTGAGATTCCTTTGACCTTTCCTTCTTACTAATGTCTTACCTCCAATTTGCCACTTCTCTGAGTCTTGGATGGAACTTCACATCTCAGGGGTGAGAAACTCTCAGGGCATACTTTGACAAGTGGGAAATGGGAAATAGCTGGGCATATAAATGCCCTCAACTTTTTCATTCTTCTGGACTATGCTGATATACAGTTTCTCCCTTAGGCCCTTCCAGACAAGTCTTCCATACCAAATGAATTTGTCTCTTCTAGGCTCATTGTGAAGACAAACATATTAGAAAACAGACAAACAAGCAACCGAAACCTCTCTGTCTATTCTATGCATTTCTCTACTTCCTCATTCTCTCCTTTACTTTAGAACAAATTTTCCCAAAATTTATGCTTGCATGTGCTTAATTCAATTTTCTTTTCCCTTGTCTTTTGAACCCACTCTAATCATAGTTTTACTCCCATCACTTCACTGATACCACCCTCATCGAAATCACCAGTGGACAAGGAATATTGATGACGCAGGAGAGAGAAGGAAATTGTTGGAATTCATAGAATCTCCTTTTCTGAAAGTCTCTGAAAATAAGATAAATTCTAAACATCATGTGTTAGCTTAGGAATGAGGCTCTTTGAAGACAAATGGTAGCACATGTGAGCTTTTGTATTCTTTGTATAAAATGAACCACCACACAAATGAAGAAAAATTATTTTAGTAATCATTTAGTCCACACACCATTTGTAGACCCAACTCCAAGGATCATTCAAGTCTCATATTTCATTGTACTTGTAAAAGAAGGAAATGCATTCCTGACGTATTAATTTGGTAAGGCACTAAAATGTCATTTTCTGGGTTCTAAGAGCATAGTCAAATAAAATGTGTAAAAGAAAAAAGCAGGACAATAAATCAGTAATAATAGTAATATCAATAATAATAGCTTACATTCATTGTTTATTATGTCATATATATGTTATATATATATATACAATTTATCTTCATAATAAAAACTTTTGAGGATTATCACCATTTTGCACATCAGGACACTGAGGCAAAGAGAGATTACATAGCTAGTAAGAGACATTATTTGTAAATTAATTGCCAAGTTTCCTCTCATAAGTTTCCATTTAGATTTAGCAGTTCTAAAGTACATGAAAGTATTTTGCAATATTATGCACTAAAAACTAGTAAGTGGGATGGAGCACTGCCATCTCTTGCTAATTGAGAACAGTGCAATAGAATAAATTGAATCTATTTCCCAAGAAATGTTGCATGTTAAAATCTAATTCTTGTGCTCACATTTAGATTTGTTAACATTTTTATTACGACTTTTATAAGTTGGCCTAACTCTATTCTAATTGTTTGAATCACCGCAACTTCAAGTTATATGAACTACTTGGCCATAATTAAGCAATACGACATGACAAGCAATGCCTTTCAGGATGATTACAGGACATTATAATTTCATAATAAACTCCAATGATGTTCTATCTTAATTATACACATTAATAGATTCTGTACACATTTAATTATCTGCTACATTGATATTCCCATAACTTTTAAACAGTTCTACTTGAATATAACCAATGCTCAAACATAGATTCACTAATGGGGCATAATGAACAAGTTATCACTGTATGTCAGGATGGAAACCTGACATACAGGTGTATGTTTCCACAGGTGGAAACTACCCAGTGAGGTAGTAATTTTTTTATAGTTATAGGTATAAAATTATATAGTTATATATATATATATATATAAACTATATTTAGTTTAAATAAAAGTTAAAATTTTATTTAAAAAATTAAATTGTATAGTTATAACTATATAACTATAGTTATATAGGTATAAAATTAAGTGATTAAATCTTATAGTTACATAAAAGCATAGATTTAAAAGACAAATTATTTTCTGCTTCAGCAATGTAGCAGATATTGAAGTAGGGCTATGAATAAAATAACTATATATAAATAATAAAATATACTTTCTTTGCTGTTTTTTCAGAGAATATACTACTTTTATGTATAGTAAAGCCTAGACTAAAGAGTTTATTAAGTAGTAGAAGAGGTTTGTTCTAAATATTTCAACTATAGGAAGCTTAAAAAAATTTTATTTGACTCCCTTTTTCATCGACATAAATTCTTCCCAGAGACAAATTTCCTCTAAAACATCTCTAGAAATTTGTATCAAATTCTCAGATCTCTCTATTTGGAGAAGTGTTAAAAGATAAAACTTGGTCTCACTAAAGTTTTTCCAAATTAGGGTAATAGATCTCTCTCCTTTTCAAATCATTTTTCACTCCTCTCTTCTATTCCAAATATTCATCAGTACTATCCACTTTTCCTTATTAATAATTTGAAAATATTCAGTCTTATTGTCTGTCTCCCCCTTGCACTATTTTTACTGCCACATTACTAGTTCAAATTTTTAAAAAATGTTTTTTACAGGTAATCATTTGCAATAGCCTTCTGGAACTAATGGCCCCTTTTCTCACAACTTTCAAATTTATCAACTACACTAAAGGCTATTTAATGTAACCCAGGTTTGTGTTCTCTCTATCCCTGCCTCCCTCCATATTTCTCTCTCTCTCCAACAAATTCTAAACAGATATACATATACATTTATTAGTTGTCATTCTGTTGTAAGAAAAGTCTTTCCTACTCCTATTTACTTATTTTTATTGGTTGATTGATTTATTGATATCAGTATGGGCTTTCAGATTCTTCTCCATAAAGCTTGTACCAATTTGCATGGCCACCAGAAATTATATGAGAATGCCTGGTTTCCCACAGACTTGCCAATAGAAAGTGTTGTCATTCTTTTAAATGTGCATCAATTTGATAGGTGAGACATGATATCACAGTGTTTTAATTTGCATATCTCTGATTATGGGTGAGGTTTAATATATTTTCCTATACTCACAGGCCTTTTTTGTATCCATTTTTGAATTGTGCATTTATGTCTATTTCTAGATTTTCTATTCCGTTCTAACACAAAATTTGTCCATTCATATGCCAGTACCACAATGTTTTAATTATAGAATTTATCTATATTTTAATGACTGGGAAGATTAAATCCCTTCACAGATTTTGTTTTTTTTCAATGTCTCTCTGTCTTTTCTTGCAAGTTTGCTTTTCTTCATATTAACTTGTTTACCTCCACAAAAAATAACTTGTTGATATTTTTATTTGGATTGTGTAAAGTTTATAAATCAACTTAATCAGAACAGAAATTTTAGGGGCTGACCCCATGGCATAGCAGTTAAGTGCACACGCTCCGCTGCTGGTGGCCCGGGTTCGGATACTGGGCACACACTGATGCACGATCAGGCCATGCTGTGGCAGTGTCCCATATAAAGTGGAGGAAGATGGGCATGGATGTTAGCCCAGGGCCAGTCTTCCTCAGCAAAAAAAGAGGAGGATTGGCATGGATATTAGCTCAGGGTTGATCTTCCTCACAAAAAAAAAAAAAAAAAAAGAAAAAGAAAAAGAAAAAAAAATAAATAAAAAGGACAGAAATTTTATGACGCTTGTCCTACTATCCAAAAACAATGTCTTTACATTTGTTCAATTCTAATTCTGTATCTTTCAGAAGTTTTAAAACTTTCCTCATATAGTTTCATATAATTTTTGTACATTTCTTGTTAATTTTGTTCCTAGATATTCTATCTTCTTTGTTGCTATTATAAATGGGGTTCTCTCTGTCATTATATACTATAACAAGTTATTATTTGTCTATATGAAAGATATCTGTATGTTAATTTTATGTCCTATATTACTATATTCTTATATTGCTTGAGTTATTTGCATAATTTATTAGTTTTGCAGGTTTACTGTCATATCATCTGCAAATAGAGATAATTTTCCTTCTTTTCCAGTTATTATTCCTCTAATTGATTTTTCTTGTCTAATTGTATTGGCTTACACTTCCAGTATAATATTGAGTAGCAGTAGAGGTTTTTCCTAATCTTAGTGGAAATCTCTATTAATTCCATATTACATAGGATGCTGGTTTCAGGACGAAGGGGTAGTTTAGTATATTTTCTTCCATTTCTTCTCCATAGTTAATGAGTGACTTGTATATTTTGTTAATTAAAAAATAAACTAGAATTTGATTTATTCATTTGTTACATAGTTTCTCTTTCCTCTACCTCATTAATTTCTACTTTCATCTTTACTATCGTTTCCTTATATTTTCTTTTACTCTTCCTTTCTAAAATTTTGTGGGGAAATTATTTTATTTATTTTTACTCTTTAATTTTAATAATATGAGTGTTTGGAGCTATTATTTTTCCTCTGATCAGTGATTTAAATGCATCTTAGATGATGATATGTATTTTTTATTAAAATTATTTTTTAGGAATTTTAAATTTAAAGCTTTGATTTTAAATCTTTGATTTAAATTTAAAATTTTTATTTAAATTTTACATTTTTATATTTCTCTTTTCAATCAAGTTTGTTTAATAGGCTTTTAAAAATCTCAGTTGGCAAGACTTTTTGTGTTAATAATTTCTAGTTCGTTGCTTTGTGATCAGAGAATGTTGTTTAAAATATTTCTAATTTGTGGAAATTACTCATATTTCAATGATGACCCAAAAAACTATCAATTTTTTAAAGTTTCATATGGGCTTGAGAAGAAGGTGTATTCTTCATATGCTTTCCCTTATTGATATTTAAGCTTTCTATAACTTTTCTTATTTTTGTCCGCTTGAACTGTCTTGTATTGAAAGTGATATGTTAAATACTCTTCTTATTATCATGCTTCTACGCCTTCTTGAATCTCTTTGGATTTTTCCCTTAAAAAGCAGCTGTTTTGTTATTTAGCACAGACATACTTATATGTTATATTTTTATTGTGAATTGTGGCTTTCAGGATTAAAATTGGATCTCCCTCTTATAGTAATGGTCATGATAAGTATGGTAGGCAAAATTCTAAGATGGCTGTCAAGATACTCACTCTTGATGTACATGCCCTGTATAATACTCTCTCCTTGAGTGTGGGCAGAACCTTTGAATATTATGGGATATCACCCACAAGATTAAATTATGTTTTAGGGCAAAAGGGATTTTGTAGATATAGTTAAGGTCTCTACTAAGTTGAAATTGAGTTAATCAAAAGGGAGACAATCCTAAATGGATCTGACTTAATCAGGTAAGCCTTTAAAATAGGAAGCAGAAGCAGATGCTCTCCTGCTAGCCTAGAAGAAGCAAACTGCCATGTTTTGGAGAGGGTCACAGGGCAGGGAAGAGTGGGTAACCTATAAGAGCTGAGAATGGCTCCTGCTGATGACCTACAAGATATGGGGATTTTAGTTCTATAACTACAAGAAACTGATTTCTTCCAACAATGAATGAGTTTGCAGATGATCCCCGATGAGATCTCAGTCTTGGTCAACACCACTATTTCAGCCATGTGAGACCCTAAATCAAGAAGTTTGACCTATAGATATGTGAGACAATAAAAGTATATTGTGTTCTTTTAATTGTGATGTAATATACCTTTTTAACCATTTTTAGGTATACATTTCAGTGACATTAAATATATTCACACTGTTGTGAATCACCACTATGCATCTCAAGAATTTTTCATCTCATATTGAAACTCTGTACCCAGTAAACTATAACTCCCCACTATCCCCTCCATCCAGCCACTATTCTACTTTCTGTCTCTATGAACTTAATTATTCTAGGTACCTCATATAAGATGCATCATGTAATATTTGTCATTTTCTATCTGACTTGTTTCACTTAGCGTAATGTCTTCAAAGTTCATCCATGTTGTAGCATGTACCAGAATTTTATTCCTTTCTAAGGCTGAATAACATGCCATTGTATGTATATATCACATCTTGTTTACCCATTCATTTGTCAATAGATATTTTGGTTGTTTCCACCTTTCGGCTATTGTGAATAACATTGCTTTGAACGTTGGTGTATCTGTGTCCTTGCTTTCATATCTTTTGGGTATATATCCAGAACTGGAATTGCTGGATCATATGGTATTTCCACGTTTATTTTTTTGTGTGTGTGAGGAAGATCAGATCTGAGCTAACATCCATGCCAATCCTCCTCTTTTTGCTGAGAAGACTGGCCCGGGGCTAACATCTGTGCCCACCTTCCTCCACTTTATATGGGATGCCACCACAGCATGGCCTGACAAGCGGTGTATTGGTGCGTGCCTGGGATCTGAACCCGGGCCACCAGCGGTGGAGCCCATGCACTTAACCACTATGCCATGGGGCTGGCCCCATGTTTAATTTTTTGATGAACCGCCATATTGTTTTCCAGAGTGACTGTATCATTTTATATTCCCACCAGCAATGCACAAGCTTTCTAATTTCTCCACATCCTGTACAACAGTGGTTCTTTCCTTCTTTTTTTTTCATTAATAGCCATCCTAATGAGTGTAAAGTGTAATCTTATTGTGGTTTTCATTTGCATTTCCTAATGACTACTGATATTGATCATCTTTTCATGTGCTTCTTGGCCATTTGTATATTTTTGAAATAACGTCTATTCAAGTCCTTTGCCCAGTTTTTTTTTTTTTTTTTTTTTTTAAATTTTTTTTTTTTAATTAATTTATTTTTCCCCTAAAGCCCCAAGCGATAGTTGTAAGTCATAGTTGCACATTCTTCTAGTTGTTGTATGTGGGACGCGGCCTCAGCATGGCCGGAGAAGCAGTGCGTCTGTGTGCGCCCGGGATCCGAACCCGGGCAGCCTGCATCGCAGCGCACGCACTTAACCGCTAAGCCACGGGGCCGGCCCGCCCAGTTTTTAATTGAGTTATTTTGTTGTTGTTGAGTTGTAGGAGTTCTTCATATATTCTGGATATTAATTCCTTAACAGATACAAGATTTGAAAATATTTTCTTTCATTCTATACGTTTCCTTTTCATTCCTAGTTCTAAATTTTCATAGTTTTAAATTTTGATGTAGTCCAATTTATTTATTTTTTCTTTTGTTGCCTGTTTTTGATGGCATATCCAAGAAATCATTTCCAAATCTGATGTCATGAAAGTTTTCCCCTATGTTTTCTTCTAAGAGTTTTATAGTTTTAGTTCTTACATTTAGGTCTTTGATCCACTTTGAGTTAATTTTTGTATATGAAGTAGATCAGGTTCCAACTTTATTATTTTGTATGTAGATATCCAGTTTTCCCAACACCCTTTGTTGAAAAGACTGTCCTGTCCTCATTGAGTGTCCTTGGCACCCTTGTCAAAAATCATTTGACCGTATATGTGAGAGTTTATTTCAGGGCTGTCTATTCCATTCCATTGATCTATATGTCTATCTTTATGCTAGTACCACACCATTTAGATTACTGTATCTTTGTAGTAAGTTTTGAAATTAGGAAGTATAAGACCTCTGTTTTTGTTGTTTTTCAAGATTGTTTTGGCTTTTTGAGTTCCCTTGAGATTTTATATGAATTTTAGGGTGCATTTTTCTATTTCTGCAAAAAATATCGGGTTTTTGATAGGAATTGCATTGAATCTGTAGATGGCTCGGAGGAGTATCAACTTCTTAACAATATTGTGTCTTTCAATCCATGAGCACCAATATCTTTCCATTTGTTTGTGTCGTCTTTAATTTCTTTTAGCAATGTTTTGTAGTTATCAGTGTACAAGTTTTTGCCTCCTTGGTTAAGCTAATTCCTAAATATTTTATTATTTTTGGTGCTATTGTAAATGAAATAGTTTTCTTTATTTCCTTTTCAGATTGTCCATTGTTAATGTGTAGAAACCCAACTGATTTTGTGTGTTGATTTTTTATCCTGCAACGCGTCGAATTTATTTATCAGTTCTAATGGTTTCTTTTGGTGTCTTCTGGGTTTTCTACACATAAGATCATGTTATCCACAAACAGAGATAATTTTACTCCTTTCTTTCCAATTTGAATGCCTTTTATTTCTTTTTCTTAACTCATTGCTCTGGCTAGGACTTCCAACACTATGTTGAACAGAAGTGGCAAAAGTGGACATCCTTGTCCTGTTTTTTATTTTACAGGAAAAGCTTTCAGTCTTTCACTATTGAATATGATGTTAGCTGTGTTTTTTTCCCTGTATATGGCAATGTTTGTTATTTTAATCTGTCAAGTTTGTGACAATTTGTATGCAGCAATAGAAAACTGATACAATAATGAAGAAAATTTTATTCAAATAAACTAAAACATAATTAGAGGTGGACTCCATGTGTCTATTTATCTCCTGTTTAGAAGAAGATTCAAGGAAGAATTTAGACAGGGTGATGACACAAAATAGTAAGATCATAAAGGTAAATAACTTTGCTTTTATGTATGAGTTAACTTCTGTACACTCAGTAGAGCATCCAGGTATAGCTCAAGTATTGTGTCTCCCAATTAGGTCAGTTTAGATGAAGCATCTTACAGTAACGTATTCCTGTCAGCTTGCCTGTTCTACTCAGCATCTCCACCTAGGAGATAGGAAAAGGTAAAAGCTCTCACTCCTGGAATATTGTGTATATTGGCCTGCCATCTAGAAAGTCATTTTTAATGTTTTCCTGCGTTTTCTTTCTCTAAAGCATTTAGTTTGAGGATAGGGCAGAGTAAAGGCATAATGTATACATAGACACATACACATACACGGATGCATACATCAATCTCACTGTGAAAACGCAAAATGTATTTCAAGTGCATAGACATATTTAAAAACAAAGTTTATGCTTGCTCATTCTCTCTCTCTCTTTCTCTCTCTCTGTCTCTTGATTTGACATTTCATCTGCTTCCTCATTATTCATCGGAAGATTTATATCACATTATTGGTCTGTGGCAGATCCCCTCTTTAACAAGATCTGAAGAGAATTCAAGAAGTATTTCTTCTTGTCACTAATAAGTATAATATGTTCTTTAAAAAGGACAACCATTTGAGTAAGTGTATATGGAATAGAGGAAAAATATTGTGAAGATTTAAGGAAAAATACAACTGTAATTTTAAGGTTTATTAACTGAATCCTGGGCTGTCTTTCTTGCCTCATTTATTAAAGCTGCCCTTTTAAATTTAAACTCCCTAATGTGTCTGAAGCCACAGCCTCTTGTCTCTAAACACATCACCCTTAAGAACAAGGACTCTGGGGCCAGACTCTTTGGGCTCAGATTCTGGGTACATTACGTATTTGTTTTGTAACTTTGGATTAGTTTCCTCACTTATCTGCCACTCTCAGTCATGTGAGATTTCAAGCTGAATCCAGAATCTCTGCTCTAGAATATCCATATCAATAAATTTAGCTAAGTCCTACATTATATTCCTTTTAACATGATCCAGCATCCATTGGAATCTATTCCCATATGTGTGCCCCAAGTTTATGACAATACAAATGGGCAAAATTTATAATCACTTCAGTACGGTTCCTACCTTCACATAGGCCACATTTTTTCCCCTACCCTCTGAGGCTAGAGTCTGATTATAGGTCTAGAAGCAATGGGAGGTTATGGGGTATGTTTTGGAGAGGATTAGCTGTCCTGTGTAATTCAACTACCTCAGGAGAGGCCATTAAGTTTCCTTAGGGAGGAAGAGACTAATTTTGTCAAGTGTTGGGGAAGAGGGAGAATCCCCTTCTGACCTTTCTCTTAAGGTTCTTATGGCTGGCCAAATTATTAAAAGACAGGTTAGCAGGAGAAAATAATACCAAGTTTAATAACATTTATACATGGGAGAAACCAGGGAAACTGAGTTTCTCAACAAAATGGCAGTTTCTCATCTTAAATACTATCGTCAGCTAAAGACAAAGGAGGATGTTGGGGGTGAGGGAAATCAGTTATGGGAGATTACTAGAAAGCACAGCAATCAAGGGTATGTAGATTTAAATCCTCTCCTTCCTTACCGAAAAGAGTTTCCAGAGATAAGGCCATCACCCCTCTCCCCAGTTTAGAGAGGGAGATACCTTTACAAATGTAAATGTTTGGTAAACAGAACTTTGATAAGAATGGGCTCAGTGAGGACCCTGCCAGTCTGTCCATACCCAGAGTTAAATTCCTTTAGGCAGTAAGTGGGGGAGGTCAAATGTCCGTCAGAGAAAATAATCAAAGTAAAGAGATATATTTTGGGGTGGCCAAATTTTGATCTCCCACACAAGCAAGGGAGGAGTCTGTTTCTGCAGGCAAAGGAGGCTCAGAAATATTTGGGAATCCAGTTCCCCAGCTTCGTTAGAGTCTGTATATAATTCCATCCATATTTTCAGATAACAACTCCTTCCTAATGAATGTCTCAACTTTAATATAGGAGAACTTGTGAAGTTGTAAATTTAATTGATTTTTTGTGTGTGTGAGGAAGATCAGACCTGAGCCAGCATCCATGCCAGTCTTCCTCTCCTTGCTGAGGAAGACCAGCCCTGAGCCAAAATCCGTGCTGATCTTCCTCCACTTTACGTGGGACGCCGCCACAGCATGGCCTGACAAGCGGTACGACAGTGCGCGCCTGGAATCCGAACCGGGGCGCCAGCAGCAGAGCGCGGGCACTTAACCGCTACACCACGGGGCCGGCCACTTTAATTGGTTTTTAATTCAGCCAAAAACAGTTTTAGACTTTGGGCTTGGTTTTCAGAAATTTCAGTCCTACTGCTATAGGAGATAAAGGTTTATTTTAGGGCAGCCTTATAAGTGTTCTCCTGTCTTACCCTTGACTGGAAAGTTAAAACTCTAAACTCATTATGTACTTTCAAGTCTTTGGCACACTTAGAAGCAATCAACCAAACCCATTATGCTCCTTATTTTTATAAAATATTCTGTGATAAAAATTACATGGTCACCCAAAACCATTCCTTCTATAGACACTTGATTACAGGTGTCTACAGGTGATATTTTAAGCAACCATTTTGCCATGGGTTAACCATGTCTACATTACCTCTGTCCATGTCATCATTAATGTCTTGAGATATAATTAGACCAAAAAAAAATTCCAGATAGCCCAGACTCGTTTCAAAGAAATCTTTCATAAGGTTCTGTTCCCCTAGCGCCCTTTCTGGTATGAATTTCTCCATCATTTAAGGTTCAGTCAGGGAAGAAGAACAACTAAGTGATATAATAAAGGACCAATTATAGGGAATACATTGAATGCAATTGTGGTACTATGGAAAGTTGTTGATTCTGTATCTGATGAGAGCATGAGGTTCCTGTAGATAGGAGGGCCGGCAGTCAAGAAGAAAAGCTGGGCATGAAGCAGGAGCAAGCAAGAACTACCGTAAGCCGTGAAGACAAACTGGAGCCCACCTCTATCTCTCATGGCTCTCATCTTGATGACGCAGTGATGTGCAAAAGAAGCAGATGCTCTTCATCGGACCCACAGTTTGAAGAAACTAAAGAGTATATCCAGTGGGACCTGGAGTCTCTGCAATCCTAGCTGCTGCCCCATCGCGTCGTCGGTAAGAGAGAAGATCAGTCACAATGTGTGCGAGTGACAGTGATGCTTGCCCCCTACAATTACTTTCAGATAGTAATGGCTGCTACTTCACTTTTTTTGTGTGTGTGAGAGGAAGATCAGCCCTGAGCTAACATCCGTGCTAATCCTCCTCTTTTTGCTGAGGAAGGCCGGCTCTGAGCTAACATCTATTGCCAATTCACCTCCTTTTTTTTCTTCCCCAAAGCCCCAGTAGATATTTATACATCATAGCTGCACATCCTTTTAGTTGCTGTATGTGGGACGCGGCCCCAGCGTGGCCGGAGAAGCGGTGCGTCGGTGCGCGAGCAGGATCCGAACCTGGGCCGCCAGCAGCTGAGCGAGCGCACTTCACTGCTAAGCCACCGGGCCGGCCCTGCTGCTTCACTTTTGCCTTGCAAATCTCACACAAATCTCTCTTCTGGCCAAACCTAATCTGGAAAGGAAAAACTAGGAAATGTAGTTCCATGTAACTAAGGTGATGATGTACAAAACTGCCACAGGAGGTAGATATCATTATGTTAAGCTACAGAATTCAACAACTCCTCAAATATTTTGGAAATCAATCTTACATCATCCTGATTATTCCATTTTGACTCCTCATCTCAGCCCTTAGATCTTCAATTTTTAGAGAGTTACATTGCATTTTGATCTGTTATTTAAAACCGCTAAAAATTCACCCTTCATATGTGGATTTCATTTTCATTAAGTGTACTATTATTTCTCTAGGTTAGTTTCCATAGTTTCTGTATTCAATAGCATGTTTGTTTGCACATAATAGAGCCCAAATGCAAGGGAATTGTGAAGAAAACAAAATAGGACTAAAAATAACACTATAGACTATATAATTTACTAAGAATTTTACTTACGTCAATTAAGTACCAAGATTAAGGCTTTTCATCTCTGGTACTCTTACTCAGCTCCATAATAACTAACAATTCATGGTGTCTAACTAAATTTGGAGAGTGGGGATTTCCATAAGCTTGCAAAGTCTGAAAGATCTATCATTGGAAAAAGTCCTTGAAATAGAAAATACATATTACCTAATGCCAGAGTATATTTGACATAAAAGTTGACATTTAAAAACTTGCTCTGCTGCTTTAATTCGTATAGAAATAAAAAAAAATAATAATGTAACAAGGAACATCCTCTTCCTCTCATATCATTCAACATGAAAGTTGTGCTTTATGGGAAGTCATGTTTTATTCCAATTGTTATCAATGGCTCCTGCCAGTGCTACATATCCACTATTCTGAACGAGTTTATTTAATGCAAGAAACACCGTGTTGCTGACTCTAAAATGCTAATTAAATTTTTATGGAATATTCAACCAACCATTAAAAAAATCTGTATGCTGGTCTAACGCATTTAAAGCATGTGTGTATTTCAACTTGCATTCCACATAATTCCAGCTAAGTGATGATTAAACAGTTTTTACTACAGAATTAACAAATAGATTAAAATGATATATCTGCCTAAAGAAGTTATTGATTTCAGGGTGGTGTTCCAGAATCGTGTTTGGAAAAGTTGTCAGAATTGTTACATAAATTTCAATGAGGGCCGGCCCCGTGGCTTAGTGGTTAAGCGTGCGCGCTCTGCTACTGGCGGCCCAGGTTCGGATCCCAGGCGCTCACTGATGCACCGCTTCTCCCGCCATGCTGAGGTGGCGTCCCACATATAGCAACTAGAAGGATCTGCAACTATGACATACAACTATCTACTGGGGCTTTGGGGGAAAAAAAAGGAGGAGGATTGGCAATAGATGTTAGCTCAGAGCCGGTCCTCCTCAGTGAAAAGAGGAGGATTAGCATGGTTGTTAGCTCAGGGCTGATCTTCCTCACAAAAAAAAAAAAAAAATTTCCATGAGACTCCATTCTATAACTGATCAGTCATCAACATCTTTCTAGAACAAAACTTCAAAAATTCTAAAAGATATCCTATCAAAATATTTATCAGTTACTTTTAATAACCTTTAATAATTCCCTATAAGTCTTTCTTCCATCTTTTTATTTCCAGTAAAAGTCATTTTTTTTTTCTTTTAGGCTCTTTTCCTCTTGGGTGTGCTCACTTTCACTTACTCTTTTTTTCGATTTGCTTAGTTAATTTCTATTTTCAATTGTCAATATCCATTAAGCATTATTTTTCATCTCTATGCATCCTTATTCAACTCTAGGTAAAAATGAACATTCCCTTCTTTGTTCTCCACTGTATTGCGTATACTTCTATGATAGGCTCTATAATAATTTATTCATCTTACTTCTTTACGTATTTTCACCTCTGACTATCCTGGAGGCAACTCGAAGTCAGAGACTGTTTTATTTTAAATCCCCAATGTCAACCACAGTATCACTAAAGCAGGAAGTGACTGAGGGATGGACAAGAGGATGAGTGAATAACAAAGTCAAAGCATCTTAGGAATCAGAGACTATTTTTCTCACTGCAGGAGTAGTGTCTTTAAAGATATACAGACAATCCTCAACTTAAGAAGGTTTGACTTATGATTCTTTGACTTTACGATGGTACAAAAGCAATACGCATTCAGTAGAAACCATACTTCGAATTTTGGTCTTTTCCCGGACTAGTGACATGCGGTACAATACTCTCTTGTGAAGCTGGGCAGCGGCAGCAAGCTGCAGCTCCCGGTCATCCGCACGATCACGAGGGTGAACAACGGATAGACACATGACCATTCTGTACCAATACAACCATTCTATTTTTCCTTTCAGTAGAGTATTCAATAAATTACACGAGACATTTAAAACTTTATTATAAAATAGGCTTTGTGTTAGATGATTTTGTCCAACTGCAAGCTCATGTGTAAGTGTTATGAGCACTTTTAAGGTAGAAATGGGTTTATCTAGATGTAACCCCATCATAAGTCAAGGTATATCTGTATTTGAGAATCCATGAAGCAGAGGGAAAACAGTGTTTGTACAATGATTAAGAGTAAACTGCAAGAGAATGATGGCTCTGTATGATCAATGCCTTTAGTGTCCTGGTACTGTTGTAACTGTTCACACACTTTGTGAATGTGAGACAGAGGAATAGCAATGAGCTTGAATAGGCAGCACATTTTTGTAGGGTTAATTTGATATTTATCTCTTGTATCTCTTCACTTCTGTTCACTGGGAATAAGATTTCTCATTCCCTGTACATTTAGGAAAGATCATACGAAAGTCTAAGAATCACTGCTCTTGGTTTAAAAGGAACCATAAGTTAAAATATAAATAAACTGTGCGTGAAACCAATTTAAAAACACATTGCCCATGATTCATTGCCTGATGCTGCCCCAGAGGCTGATGGATCTTTACATCAAAGTGGAGAAGGATTAACACGTGCTCACATAGTACTCTGGTCTCTTCAGGCTCCTGTGAGACCTTTAGGCATAGAAGAGTACAAGAGTGTACAAATGTTGGTTTTTCCCAATTACTTCCTAAAACAGCTGTGGTTACAAAGGCTTAGGCCATTTTTTTTTGTTTCTCTTTTAATATATAAGTTGAGAAATATAGTAAGAAGGACTTCTTATCTTCATTCTCTCATGAGTATTGTGAGGGAAATTTTGGCCTCAGAGCTGGCTACTGTAGCAAATCATATTTCTTAGTTTCATTTCTTTTAATTTTATTGTCGTCTTTCTATTGGTGATTCTTACTTATCACCCGAAAGATTAAGGACTTTATTTTGTATCTCTTGAAGGTGGATCAAGCCAACCAAAAAGTTACACAATTTTTAGTAACTTAGAAGCACATGAAAAATTAAAATTGACTTGGGAAGAGGAAGAATGTCTCCAAGAATTCCTCCAAGAGGAAAACTTGCACAGTTTTCATTGTGCAAATGGTGGATAAAATTCTGTCTTCTGGTTTGAAACAGGATATATGTATATATATACACACACATATTTATATACATTTGTACATATATATACATTTATATATATAAACACACTCACACACACACGATTGGTGTGATCTACAATTTCATCCTCTTCCTGAGAATAGAACAAACTTCTAATATTGTGAGTGAGATAGACATTAAAAAACCTTTTCTTTAAAAAAAGATATAAAGTTAAATATATGATTCCTGGTCCAATAATTTCAGAATTGATATATCTTATTGTGTGCTACTTAATTTGTAGCCATCTCTGTCCTAGATAGCATGTGAATAAATGATTTAATATGGGCTCCAATGTCAATTCTTCAAATTGTTTCCACAGGTAAATGCATCTAACATGAAGTCTTTTTGGTACAAAGCCCATCTAGATGGAGGCTAGAGTAGATCCATTTTAAGGGGAATTCTGGTCTACAGACAATGTGTTACATTGAAGTTACTATGCATTTTTAATTAAAAATAATTTTCAAATTTTTATGCTATCCATAGGGTGCTTTAAAACCAGGGTTTGTAATCACCAGGATAGACAGTTTACCATATGGTTTCACATGTATTATGGCTTTGTAAGTAACAGTTTTAACTTTAAGTATATGTTTGTCAAATATGCTGAAGGGACATTATGTGCTTTTTCAGGTTTAAAGAAAGGAAAAACATGTTAATTCAACATTTTTACACGTCTCTATCTGTTTCTTGTAGTCTCTGATCCTCATTAACGGAATGCCCTGGAGGGCACTTAAGTGCAACTAAGCATCAGTTGAAAATGCATTATGACTTTATTTTCTTCCCAGAAAAAAGAGTCTCCATGCATTTCCATCCTTATAAATTATAAACTGCTGCTGTCCGTCGCTGAGGTCTTAACTGCACTGAGGCAGAGTTCTTGGCTTGTCGGGTATTAATAATGGCTCTGCCTGTCTGCCCTTCAGCTGAGACATTAAACGGAGGTCTCCTCCGTTTGCCTCTAGTGGCTACTCAAGTGGAGTTAAAGATCGCATCACGCTTTTCTGAAAGACGATGGGGCAACTTCTGAGCCATGACCTTCATTTTCAAAATGTGTAATACACAAGGCTGGGGGTAAGTTGTTGCTTCATATCTGAAGCTGCCAATTTGATTTCCATGGGCTGTGGAATCCTCAGAATCAAAACAATGATTTCAAATTTCACTTTAGGATATTTTGAGATTATGAAACATAATGCAATCTCTTTTCATTCTATTTTCTAATGCTGTAAGGAAATACGCATATTGGTAATTTGATGAGAAATAATTTTTCCATTATAGCTAAATTTTAATTGTCTAGAAAAATGCCTTTCAAGAAGCCATTACCTAAGTAACATAGGCCATTGTAGGGAGGAGGCAGAGCAGACTCCTTTGGTTATTAGAGACCAAGTCTATATTTCATACACCACGTTAGATCCAAAGCCTTAGAAGCAGATAGAATTGTCCAAGATACATAGGAACATTCCTATGTTGTTTTGAATGAATTTTGATTATTTGCATACTACTTGAAGCAAGCGGATATACTCACTTAAATTTTACTTGAGTATATAGTATAATCCATTATAAAAGTAACTGGTGGAAACAACCCAAATGTCTATTGATTGATGAATGAATAAACAAAATGTGGTATAGCCATATAGTGGAGTGTTATTCAGCCATAAAAAGGAATGAATACTAATACATGCTACCACATGGATGAATCTTGAAGACGTGCTAAGTGAAAGAAGCCAGACACAAAAGGCCACGTAGTGTATGGTTCTATTTATGGGAAATATCCAGAATAGGCAAAGCTATAGAGACAGAAAGCAGATAAACGGTAGCCAGAGGCTGGGGGCACAGGAGAACGGGGAATGACTGCTTAATGGATGTGGGTGATGAAGATGGTCTGGAACTAGATAGTGGTGATAGTTACACAGCCTTGTGAATACTAAATGGCACTAAATTATACCTTCTAAAATGGTTAAAATAGTAAATTTCATGTTATGTGTATTTTATCACAACAAAAAGCTGTTAATGTGGAGTTTAAAAAAGTGACTGGAATAGAAGATTTGCAGTTTAAAATTGGGATGAAAGAGGAATTACCAAAATAACCCAAAGCACCCTCATTTGGATTACATGAAGAGAATCGCACCTTCCCAGAAAATAAACTTGTTTTAATTTTCTTAACTTGACTACTAAAAGTGAGACACTAAGTGCTATCACACGATTGTATGACATGAAACAGAAAAATGAAAGTGATCACCAACTATGCCTTGCCTGCAAGTTAACAGTCACAGGTAAATACTTGAGAGCAGGTTCTCTCCATTTCATGTTATTCCCCCCAGTACCTAGCAAAGTTCCTCCATGTATTGCTTAATGAAGGAATGTTAAATGCACGGGAAGGAATGAAAGAGAAACACTATCATTTAAAAAAGAGCAAGTCTATAATTTTCAAGAGCCCTCTTTTAAATAAAACTCCAAAGATGCAGAATCATAAAATCAAAAGAAGGTAGATTTCTCCAAATACTCATTATCTTAGTAAAGACATACCATCAGACTCTTTGATGTATCTCAGGAGAAAGCCCTGAGGCTACCTCAACTGTTGTAGACCACCTCCTTTGGGTAACTATAATAGGAGGATCACTCTTAACTTACCATATCAAATAATATATTACACTTCGCCTTGTCACCCAGTACAGCAAGAAATATAAAACGTTGTTTTCAACTTTATAGAACAACATATTTCAGAAACCACTGAAGGAAAGTTTATGTTTTAAGAGTTTCTTCCTTGTTAACACCACTCTCCCTACTATGACTTCATAAAGGAGCCAACCAGTTTAAATTTATGACTCATGTGGACTTCTAGGCCACTTCATTAAACTCTATTATACTACTACCACGCAAGAAATAGATCTCACTGGAACTTTGGACTCGAAGGGAAAGAAAAGTTGGTTGAAATAATTCAAAGACAATAGACACAGGAGGAAGATAGAGAGATACAACGGCTACCATCTCTAGTTTCTCGGGATGTGTGCAATATTTGTTTTGGAAACTGTGAGTTGGACTGAATTCTTTCAGCTCTTGGGCTTGGATTTTACAATTGTATGTCCAATAGCGTGCTTTCTCTTCTCCAAGGACTAAACCAGGGTGACTCTGAGCTGAAAGACGGAAATAATTACCAAACATTTTTAGAATGATTTCCTCAGAGGGGAAGAAGTAGGGAAAGGATATGGAAGGACCACCTCTGTAAAACTTCTGCTTAGCTTCTGCAATTGAAGCGAAAACTTTGACAGCCAGGGGGCTGTTTCCAGTACCTCACAGTTCTTCATAAAACTCCTTTTGTAACTGTTCAAGGTGAGAGGCTGAATAAAAAGCTATAATAGAAGTAAAGCTGGAAGAAGAGAAAAAAATTTCTGTACAAACACATTTTAAGCACACTTATTAGGGTAAAATAATTTTTATTGTAAATATTTCATGCTAAGTCAGATTTTTCCAATATATGATCGCCTACCTGGAAATAAATTAGGAATTTTTGAAAGCGACATGCATATTTTCAAACCACTGGCTGAAAAATGTGTTCATGGTACTTTAAGAGACTGAACAATGAACAATTTCCAAAAATGCCTAATTCAGGGTTAGGTGTATAAAACGCCAACATCAACCAGTCAATTCAATCATCAGGTAGAAAGAAAAAATATCAATTACATTTATTAAAAGCATTTTAAAAAGTAAAATCAATCACTTGGTATTATGTAGACATATGTATTAGCAAATTGATGAAATTCTCTATCTTTCCTATTTTCAAAG